TAACTTGGCAAATAGAGAATATTTTGTGTAAAGACACCTGCTGTTTCAGTCACTCCACTGCCTAGATGTTACATATCCTTCTTTTTCTTTTTCTTTTTTTTTTGCTATGTCTATAAAACATAATAGATATTTTTGGACTGGTCTGGGAACTTCACATCACTTTAGCTAAATTAGAAGGCTGTACAAAAGAAGCTAAAATGTAACTAATATACAGCTCCCTCATAAAGGGAAATATCAGCAGAGGGACCTTACTGTGAATGATGATTAGCTTCACTGTACTGAATTGTTTCTTCAGCTTCAACAAAAAGGGCCGTGGGAAACATAAATTGCAACCTTGAGGCAGAATCCCTTTGATATTCAGTGAACATGAGAAATTAATCTGATTTGCTCATTAAGGGGCAGACAGGAGGGAAAAGCAATGAAGCATGTCAGCACAGGGCTACTTTGTCATTTGGGTTTCTTAGATAGACTCCTTCAGCAGCTGTATCCCACCCTCATCTTTTGATCCTGGTCCCTTCAGCATCTCCCATCATTTTGGCTGAGGCAGAGCAGGAGTGAAAGGGAAGGTGACAACACAGGCAATGTGCCTGCCTGCCCATGTATTGCACGTGTTGCACACACACGGCGATGGGCCCCTGATTAGACATTTGTACGCATAGCACTCCTTCTAGAGACCACAGAGGTGGTGAAGATAGTCGGGCTTGCAGCACGTTCAGGGGGCTCGGGTGCCCTTTCTGGTTCTACAAAGCTTATCCTTCCCCAGTGACAGCTACCTATACAAAGAAGAAAGTAGAGTTGTAGAAGTTGCAAGTGTTTGGCATCCGACTTGCTAGCCCACGGTTACTTCAATTAGTTGTTGACCAGAGGAGAACACTAACAGACGGTTCACCTACGAGCAAACACCAAAGACAAAGAAATGGACAATTCAGGTAAGAAAGAGCAACACGTCAAGCCCATGTACCTACTGACAGTCAACTTTAATTTCCATACACACCTGTGGAGAAGGACAGTCCACTCTCAGTAACTTTCCCTTACTAAGGCAGAGAGTAAGCTTTTGCCGCTCTCTCCTGTAAAGGTGCTGCACAGCAAGAAAGCCTGGAAGAAATGAATAGAGGCCATTCCTCCTTCCGTTTTCAGGCACTGAAGCTATTGACTCTTTAATCAGTGGACATATCTCACCCTTATCCAAACACCGTATGTCCCGCAGTGGCTGCATGTGCCAGCCAGTCTTACCAGGCTTTGTGCCAGCAGCCACACTCCACTGATTCCTGGCACCCAGGAAGCTCATGTGCAAGTTCACTGATGGATCATCTTTTAATTCTGTGCCTGAGAAAAGAATATATTAAGAGAAGCCAGGAAGAAATACAACACATTTGGTGTTTTTGAAGCTGCACTGGGCAAATGCATGGGCTTGCCACACGTTTCCCTGGGTCCATATGGAGAAGGAAAGGCTGATAAGCTTACAGTTGACTGACTTGTAACCCACCAGGACAGTGATGGGAGCCAGCTGCCATCTGAAAGTGTGCAGGGAGGTAGCAAAAGCTATGGGGAAGCAGACAGACTCTCTTTAACTGGATTAGCTGCTTGCAGAATATTATATCATTCTTATCTCCTCCCAGTTCCAGGGCTTTCCTGACACTGGTGTGTTTTATGATCCTACTCTCACTAGATTAATATTAAAGAGCAGAGGAAGCATAAAAGAGATTAATGATAGCTCTGAGGCAAATGCATAGGCTAGAAGAAGAGTGGAATACTGCTGAGGCACCAAGAAACATGGAACAAAACCCAAATATTCTGAAGAGCCTAAACCAAATGTTACAGTATTCACATTTCACATCGAACTACCAATGAGCATTCATTTCAGGGTACATAGACAGACACTGGAGTTAGTTACATAAAGCACTGGCAGATCTCTCCAGTAACTATCAAATCTCTCCTTAAAAGAAAGCCATTTAGGAGTAGGCTCATAAAGTTTCTGGAAGGTAAAAGTGAAACCATGGAGAAGGTATTTTAAAGCCCTAGAATCTAAAAAAGACACATTTTCAGGTGTTCTAACAGTTTTTCTTTTTCCTCCCAACAGCATGCCACTCCTTACTTCATGTCCCCAAGCCAGAGGTAAACTGATTTCAGTTCAAATTAGCACAGTCATTTGGGCTGGCTTTCAAAGGTAAGCTTAGCAGGTGGAACTGTTATCTTCCTTGAAAGGCAGAACCATGTTGAGCAGATCAAAACACAGCTGTCGTCTTTACATTAGCCAGCCAATTCCCAGACATGGAAAGGCCTGGTCCAGATCTGCCCTTGCATCTAAACAAGCCTCCCAGCTTCTCCAATTCCACTCAAGAAAGGGAGTATCAGCATCTCAAACTACCTAGAAACAGAGGATGAGACGCACTATTTGGGCAAAGTATTGAGCGCCCACATAATTTCAACCACCTGAACAACTTGGTTAGGGGTAGTCTTCAAAACACTCATACACTTGCATACTTTCTTCAATCCACCTTTGAACCACAGGACAAGGTGACTCCTGAAGCACTAGTGGTGTGGTATAATGTCCAGGTTCCTCCAGCGAGGAACATTTTGAAAAGAAAAGAATGGTTTAATGCCCACCCCCCCAGTGTAAACTGCTTCCCAGGTTTCACCTGCATAGACACCTCCCAAGTTTGCCACTTTTTCTGTTCAAGCTTGTCTACAGCTGCTCTTCATTTTGAATGCAAATGAAGATCAGAAACAAAAGGGCTTTACAGCCTGCATACTTTAGACCATGGCTCAGCCCATAAATGTATAGTATTGTTGTAAGTATTTTCAGCCACCTACTAGAATCACACTAAAATATTTCTGAAAGTACAGCTCAGTGCAGTTTTTTCCCCTTGCTTACTTGAAAACAACAAAAGATGGAGCTGTCATTCCTTCTCGCAGTGTTGCTCTATGAATGAGACTTAGCAGGGAACACTGAGGGTCTCACAAGCTTTCAATCCCTGTGCGCACAGGGTCTCTGTTGCAAGCTGTAGAGCAGGACATTAGAACATTGAGTAGTAGGGGTTTGCAAACAAGGCTTATGGGAGCTTCCATGTTCAAAGGTATCATGGAAGGTGCTGTGTGATCCCAGTAAGGTGATAGCAGCCACAGGCAGCACAAGCAATTCAAGCCCTAGCTAAACTCCTCTGCTTCAGATATATCCTAGCATGGTCTTCCAAATTGGTTTCACCCACCATACTAACCCACCCCAGCTGCTCAGGGGTGGAAAGTTAGGGTGGCTGCAAGAAGTTTGGGAGCTGGGTTGGAAATGTGGGATCTGAGAAAAGATAGTAGTAAAAGGTGTGGGTTCAAGAGGTGCATGTGAAGGGTACTGTCAGGGTGATGAGGCTCTGGAGTGGAGGGTTGTGGGTTTTGAGAGAGTGTGATGCTGGAGGAGACAAGAATGGGGTTCTTGGTCTCTGTTTATTTAGGCTCTTCAGAATATTTGGACTGTGCCATTAGGTTTTATTTTGTTTGATTTCAAAATATAACAGATATAGCCTTTAAATCGTGCTTAAGATTCGGCATTGCACAAGGCTGAACTAACAAAGGCTGGTCTTGGGTATAACTGTGTAGGTGATGTTAGGGAAGAACCCATGTATGTGATTAGTGAGATGGAACATTAAATGTGCTCATTTTCAAAATTACCGTGTTGGATCCACGTACTCATCTTATAAGTAATAATTCTGAAGGTCAATCTTTATCCTCAAGGACACTCATACAGACTGTACTGTCTTTCTCAGAGATACAGGGTATATTCCTGCCGTTTGAATGCACTGGTAGGAAAGTCTCAGAGGCAGTTAAAGCTGGGGTTAGATCTTGAATTGCAACTCCTGGCTGCAAACCACACATACTAAAACAAACATATTCCACTAGATCAAAAGTAATATATATCACTTTGAAGCATTCAGTTTTTCATTGAGAAAAAATGTTCATATCTAGCTGCAGGTGACATTTAAAAGACAGTCTATTTTTTTTTAAATAAGAGCAAAGAAGAATATTTAAATATAAATCTTAAATGAAAATAAGGGTATTTGAAGCTCATCACAAGAATTAACTAGCCCAGAGCCATACCAGTGCTTCTGCCAACCCCTCATGTTCATTTGCTTTGTACATTTATACACAAACAGAACTGCAGCCTGACCTAGGACAGATCTCACCATATGTAACTGAGAGAAAGGTGAATTCAATGAATGAACCTAAGGAAAGACTTCAATTCAAGAAACTGGTGTAAGCATTCAAAGATCTGCTTCTTTGTAGAAAAATTAATTTCTGCATAAAAACTTTTGGGGTAGAAAGAAAGGAAAATGCAACTTGGCTGAAAATGTTTTGATGTTCATATCTTTATAAAAATAAATTTAAAAAAATCCACGGGTATTTTCAACAAATGGGCAAATTATTCAGCACTTAAGCAGTTGTTTGTTTTGAAGCTCTTTAGATAATATTCAACAGCTGTTTCTTTTGTCTAATGGTTCTGAAACACCAAATGCCAATTTTTAAAAACCTTCACCTTTGAACAACAGTAAAAGTTCATTACAGTTCCCAGCCTAGAGATTCCATATTGGTCCCACAGTTTAAAGCAGATTTCAAAGAACAGCTTTGGATAAGAGAGGAAAATGGTGATAAAGAAAATGAGAAGTCCTTTGTGTTGTGCTGACCACTCCCAGTGTCTGTTTCTTAGGATTTGCACAACACACAAATGAAGGAGGAGACAAATATTTGTGTTCCTGGTATTTGCTAGCACTGCCACCAAAAAAACCCTGAACTATGCACTAAGATCCTTCTTTTATTGACATACTCATCAAGATGTGACACTGATAGGTGAGCTATGTGCTATGGATGATCTTGTTGGGCTGCACCATTTTGTAAGGGCAAAGTGTGTGCAGATGTCAAAGGGGAAGAAAGGCAGAAAATGCTTCTTTTTGCATGGCACATATTCTGTTTGCAAATGTCAAGATAATCCCAGTGGCAACAAGAGGGAGAACTTTTTACATTTAGTAACATTTATTTCTGCATTCGGTATCAAGTACATAAGTGCAAATATTCAGAGTCCATAATTAAGTCCATTAGGAACTACAGAGTATGTAATACAAATTGTAATAAATTTAACATGCTGGAACTTTCCAGTTACCATACATGTAAATCAGCCTGTCAATCCTTTACGACAAAAGTACTGGGTTTTGTTTTCTTTTTTTTTTTTTGAGTTATACAAAACTGATTACCATAAGTACCGATTACTGTTTATTTTATTTGTGCTGGAAAACACTAAAACATCAGTCTACAATTCTATATAGTTAATAAAGATGAATCCAACCAGCAACCCAGTGACGTAGAAGCAATTTTAACTATTGCATCAGTGCACTAAGCAGGAAAGCCCCTAGCCACATGTAACATTAAAAGTTATAGAAGCAATGCCAATAGAAGAAGGAAAAACACTAAAAAAATAAAATAAAAAGGTCAATATTATTTAGGCTCTCACCATCATGCACTTTATAAGCAACACAAAAAACCACATCTAGTACACTTTTCTCTTTACTATACTTTAGTGCTTGACACAAGTGATTGCAAATATTCTAAGTGCAGAAGCAGCAGGGGAAAAGCACTGCTTCCGAGTCTTATGTTTCTAAGATTATGGTGTGGAGAAAAAAAAGAACAATAAATTTGCAGTAAAGTGTAAGAACAGAGCTGTTTCACTCCAGATTCCCCTATTATTCACTACTGTAGTCGATGAATTCTTGATGTCTGCTTTACTCTGCCTTTCTCTTAGCACCTGGGATTTTAGCTTGAATCCTAGAAACAAAGAAGAAAAAAGAAAAAGAGGATTATATGGTGAGGCAGCTATTCCATTCCAGTGGATCCTGATTTGGAGTCTTATCCGGGGGTAATCTCTAGCTTGTGTTCAGTGTGTTGTCACAACAGGTGGACTAGCATCTAATAAGAAAAAGTGGTGAAGCCCAATCTGTGTGCTCTGACAGGCCCCTACTTGTAAATGGCCCAGTTTTTGGTGGTTCATGTAATCATGGGATATGCTCAGTGATACTCTCCTCCCTTCATTATTCTACCATGGTCTCTGTTATACTGGAAGTCAGGAATGAAGCAAAGAATTTTCAGTACAAACTTCTAGTCCTGCCCAAGGCTAAGGGTTTTGCTGAATCACAGAAATATTGGCTGGAAAGGATCCCTGAAAGTCTTTGAATCAACTTCCTACGTGAGGCAGGACTATCGTCAATGCTAAATTAGGTTGGCCACAGCTTTGTCTTGCTGCATCTTGAAAACCTCCAAGGAAGGACATTCTGGCACTTCCCTGTGCAGCCTGCTGTGCTGCTGTCCTAAACTCCTAGTGAAAAAATTTCTCCTAATGTCCAGCATCAACCTCCTAAGTTGAGTTTATGTTGTTGCTCCTTGTTATAACATCTCCCGAAACTTAGAAGGGTTTTGCTTTATCATTTTGTAACTTCCCACCAAGTACTTATAGGCTACTATGAAATGACTCCTTGGCTCCCTCCTTACCAGGCTAAACAAGCCCGGTTTCCTCAGCATCCCTTCACAGTCACTTGATCTCTGTACCTCACAATTTTTTAAGTGTTTAAGGCCAGGTTGGATGGTGCTTTGAGTAACCTGGTCTAGTGGAAGCTGTCCCTTCCTGTCCATGGCAGCAGGGTTGGAACTATATGAATTTTAACATCTCTTCCAGCCCAAACCATTCTATGATTCTATTTTTAACCTTCCACTGGGTACCTGTTACTCAGCCAACTTCTGCAAAGCTACGGACATAAACTGCTGAGATGCACAGGATCCACTGTCCAGACCAGTCACCCTGCTTCAGTAATTCTCAAGTTTTGAGAACTGTGTTTAGATCCCCACTGCACCCTTAGAGAGTCCACAAAAGCTTTTGATACAGGAAACACATTAGGAACTAGAGCAGACTGCTTCAAATATTCCAGCCAGGTCTTTTTGCTGTTCCATGCTGGTTTGAGACACTCAAGATCATGGTGCTCCCAGGTATTTTCTTTCAGTGACAGGGCAGTGTTCTAATTCCCACTTTGTTTGTTAATCGTATTATTAACTCTAAAGGACAGAGACCCTGAATGCAAAACCCCAGGCTTGGAGTGGTCAGTGGGGAAGGGAGTTAACATATTCTTTCCTGTTTGTCTTGGCCAAGTAAAAGTACAGACATCTGTCCCTGGTTTGGCTGCTCTGTCTGCAGCTCCCCCAAACGGCAGGAGAGGTGAGAAGGATGTAGGGTCACAGCTCTGCCCTTCGACTATGCTCAGCTGAGAAGGGCTGTTTCTCCAGGGGTCTGCCCTTCTGCAGCCTCTTACATGCTGGGAGCTGGGGAGGGTATCACTCATTGGGCACGTTGTCCCCACGACCACCCAGGGTACCGCAACCTTGCAGCAAGACTTCTGGCCAAGTCTGCTGCTGAACTCACTTTGCCACGACAGTGTTTATGTGGGTCCGCACAAGTCCCAGGTACTGATCAATCTGTGCCTGCAAAGAGCAAAGGGAGACCAAGTCAATCAGGCACCAAAGCAAAACCACCCAGACACCTGAACCTCACCAAGTGGACAGACTTACCTGGTACTTGTCGTATACAACAGGGAGAGTAAACATAGACACCACAGCTGAGGAGAAAAAGAGCACACTGTTAAATTCCTGTAGATCAGATTCCTCCAGAGAAGAGACCTACTTCAGTGACAAACACACATCATGTCACTTGGTCAGCTGATCCACTAGGGATCTTTGTGTTAGAAGCAAATTTTGCTCAAACCTTCCAAAAATGGAATTTCCCATTGCTCTAGGACTAGTAGCTGCAAAACCATAAACCACAAATTAGTTCTAGCAGGAGGGACAATGTAATGGGAATAATGAATATTTACCAGGAAGGGAAAAAGAAGTTGATGGTTTAACTGTGAGGAAGGCACACTGAGGATGGGCTGTTTTGTCTAAGCAGAAATCACGAGGGAGGTAAAAATAGATTTTAAAAGAAATGTTGATTTTACCCATTATCAGAAGAGTCAGGCCATTGAAGAGGGCTCCCACATAAGTCAGCAGCCACATTAGTACTGCAAACTAAATTAAAGACGGATCATTATATCACCTCCAGTGTCAGCGTAAGAAGAAATTAGTTCTCTTAACTAGCTAACACAACAGTACATTAGCCTTTTTTAATGTGTAAGGGGAGTAATTAAGTAAGGCACATTAGGAACTAGGTATTTTTTCTGGGTGTAAAAACCCCGTTCTCCATTCTGCTGTTCACTGCTTCTCACCCTCTTAGCTGAGCTTTCACATATGTTTAGGGCTTAACTGAATACATTTAGGACTCTGCATTGAGCATGACATAGGCAGATTTCTGCATCCAGTTTTGATGATGGCAGGGGTCATCCCATATAGGTTAATCACAGCCCGACAGTGATAAACCCGGTGACTGAAAGCTCTTGATGCTGGGAGATGGGTACATTTTTCTAAAAATCTTCAATAATTTAGGAGCCTAACCTATGTCTTCTCTCTTAATGATCTTCCCTTTGCTCTGAAGAACAGCTACTTGGGTGTAAGGCTGAAAATAAATAATTATTTCAGAAGGAAGGAAAAGAAGACCTTTGTCCATAGCAGGAAATGCCACCATTAGAGGAAATCCAGATTAACAGAGCTATTAGAGGGGAACACACTATTTTGTGGCAAAGTAATACAAAGCATAACACAGAGATGCTTCTAGAACTGCAATGTGGCTAAGCTGGTCCTTTTATAACTCCTATATTACGTATCAATAAATTCAAATGCAGATTGCCAAACTTCTAAACTGTTGGAAGAAAGCAAGTCAGAAATCAGAAAGGGGAGCAACTTTTATATTTGGAACTACACAAACCTAGATTTTATGACAACATCGTCAGCATGGGAAGCAGCACTTTGAAATGCAGACTGATCCTCTAAAGAGGGGTTAAAAATATTTAAAGCAATCCTACTTTTAAAGAATCCACGAGGTCCTGAACGAGAAAGAGTCTCCTCAGCTCTTTGACTGTGCTGTTGACGTATAGCTGGAGACAGTCTGTGTATTTCTGAATCTGGTCCTGTGAAAGATTCATTTCCATCTCCAAGTAGGCTCTGCCAGAAACACAAGTCCAGTTACAAACCCAGGCAGGTTCACCTGTCCGCCACACTTGTGACTGTCTACCCCATCATTCCCTCCTCCCCAGGCCACATTTTTTCATGCTGGAGCAACATGTGCCCTTTCCTGCAGGCACAGAGCCACCAGCACACATTGTCTTCACCTTGCATGACCCACCTTCCTGGGCAATTGCGAGCTGCACAGTGGCTGTTTGCCTGCGTCCTCGCCCTCTCCCCATACAGAGCCTGGTCTTAAGGGGATCTCTCTCTTTAATCCACCCAAAGGGGGATGCAAATCCTTGCTGGAGGGAACTTCCCAACAAACTTCTGTGCAACGCTGCTGTGGCAGCCTCTAGAGGAACGAAAGCTGCTGTCTTGCCATGTGTCATCTTTGGCAGCAGTGCACCTTCTCTCTCCTCCATCCTCTACCTGCCCTGCACCTCCCTCTGACCTATGCCCATGTCTTGAGTTGCATCTCAGAACTGACCCAAGTGAAACAGAAGGAGCAGCACTCCAAGAAGACTGTTCTATAAACCAGTTCCATGACCTGGTTTACCAGCTTGTTGGCAGAGGAAAGGAGAAAGCATCAGTGCTTTCCTGGAGCAAACCACCCAGACCCTGCAGAGTGTGGGGAGGGCATTGGCACTGGCACCAGCACCATCACCGAGGGTTGTGGATTGTCACATCACAGCCAAGCAGTGCTGGCGAAAAGATATAAATAGTTTCCCTCTATGGCCAATATATTCCTCCTGCTTATAGAGATACCATATTATCATTAGCTCTAATAAAACTATTTTTCTATGTTTGCTGAAAATTTTATGGATCTTTTGAATTTCAGATAAAAGATTCTCATGTGTCAGAGGACAATGGCTTTTGTATTGTTCGTTTTCCCCCCAGGATCTAACCAATACAGCCTTACAGCTCTTGAGGCAGGGGACAACAGAAACAAATATTTTCCCTGTTTTCACCAAGAAAAGAAATTTATCCATTATAAAAGCAGCAGGCAAAAAAACTTGAATTGCCACTGGGAATGGGTCCTTTGCAAGGTAAGTGGCCCCTGGCCATGACTGCAAAGCACTCACTTGAAGGGGTGGCCCTCGTCCGTCTTCTGCACAGCCTGTAGGACCGATTTGTAGATTCTGAAGCTAATGGTGGCCGAGAGGCCGGCAAGGGCCAGATAGGCCACGACACTGACGACGCTGAACTGGGTCAGGGAGAAGAGCAGCAGCAGGAGGCTGCCGAAGACGATCCCTGTCTGCTTGATGTCACGCCAGTACAACAGGTCAATAGCTGGAGAGAGAAGACCAACGTGTTAAAGGCAGGAGCTGGAAGAGCAGGATGGCCGCCGTGGCCACTGCGATGCTCAGAGTCCTTGCAGAAGGGTAAAGGAAGGAGTGATGCTCCTGCTCATATCACCATCAACAGGAACTCCTCAACAGAAGCAGTGATGTGAGTTCTGTGGTGCACTGAGGAAATTACAAGCAATGACCTACTTGAAATCCTTGTATTTCATGTATCTGCATTTTGGTTAGATAAGATGGATGAATACCTCCAGCCACGGCGCAATGGGTCTCTTACAGCAGCAAGGCAAATGCAAGCTGGGCGTTGTGTTGTTGGCAGGGTTGTATGGAAGTTTTCAACCTAGCTTGTATTTCCTTACTCTGGAAACTCTGGATTGGTTTTATTTTGTCGCAAGTCCAAGTGCCAAATGCTTAATCAAAGCATTTTCAATTTTTGGTTGTTGATAAATGAGTGCGAAAGTTTGGGGTTAGTCACAATAAAGCACTTTCCCAATCAAAGTTTTGACAATATGGTTTTGTTATTTCATAAGTTTTGAGAAAGGAAAAGACTCCTGGTTTTACCACTGCTTATTAGTTACACAGTAGGAAGGCCCCATTTTTCAGATGGGGCCTTAAAATACAGAATAAATTCCTTTTGCTACTCAAATCCAACCATCTCAGAAATATATACAAAAAAAAGCTTTCTGGCTTGTTAGATAACTTTCCTTGTTTAGGTCCATGGGAGGTGGTAGTTAGAACAAAGCAAGTGCAGAAAACCATTTTCAACCAATATATTTTTACATTTGAAAGCAGTTAATTTTGACAGTGTTTTTCACCCAGTTTGTATAGTTATTCCAACCCCTTTAGTAACCCTCTTACCATCAGGAATAGCCATTATAAAAGCAAAATTTTATGAAATGGTAGCTGAATATACTGTCCACAATGGGGAATTTAATTTCTGTACACCAACAACCTGTTTCTGAGAGGACTCTTCATCCAGCCAAAGGACATGCTCATGACAATCTAAACAAAACAGCTTTAATTTCACACACTGCACAAGTCCTCATGAACAGCTTGCACACAACACCAGCCAAACAGATTTCATGGATGCCACTTGTCAAATCATTCTGAACAAAGAATAAATTCAGGAAAATTGCAATCTGTTAAAAAAAAATTGCAAATACAAAAAGAAACAAAATTAATCCAGCCTAGTAGTTCTTACCATCTAATCTCCAAAACCTGTGAGTCATCATGGCATGTTTGCCTTGAGTCAATGAGCTATATTACTCATTACTATCACACATATTAGCATTGCTTTTCAAAGTAATGGGCTTGAATGCAAAAATGGCTATTACCGAGCTCTTTTCATGCAACATCCTACTATATTCTCCATCAATATACACAATAGCTCTTCCACATTTCTAAGTGCCAGCCTTCAGCACTGGACCTGTGATCAGAGCATGCATGAAATTGTTGCATGGAAGGCAAGGGATGGAGGAACTTAGCAGCGTATGTGGAAGTCATGGGTGCTGACTTTACAAACCAGGACCAGGCCAGAGTCTTTCCACATATATGCCCAGGTTTCTTTCCCACAGAAACCCAGGGGCATGGACTAGGGAAAGCTCCAAAAACGCAGTTGGAGCATAGTTAGAGCATGCACCTATATCAGGGGATTTAGCAGCGTCACAAATTGTGTACAGTGTCGGGGTGCTGGAGTATGCGACTCGCAAACCATCCTTACAAAATGGCATCCAGTACACAAGTATGCAGGTTTTACCATTTTTCATACTCTCTTTCAGTCAAGGCGCTGCAAAACTCTGCAGCACAGCATAGCAACTGGGGTGCTTTTACCAGTAAGCATTTTGACAGGCAGTATTCACAGCCCAGTCATTTTTGTGCTTAAGAACTTCTCTGCCAGAGGATGATATCAATTCGTACAAATCTCACTTTTGAGATACTTAAACTTTATACCACACAATACCTTCATGCTCAGTGAAATACGCACAGGTGAGCTCATGCAGGATGCTATACTTGGAACATCATCTCCTGGTGAAAGAAAAATGCCACGCACCAGGGGAAAACGCTAGGTGGAACACAGGTAGTAGACAGGCAAACAAATGAGAGCTGAGCCAGAAAGTACAAAAGACCACTTACGTAGACTTCCCTAAGACAATCCCAACTGACGATAAGACCCAAAGAGAGCAACTAAGACCCCTTTCTTTCCTTTGAGAATCTTCCATCTCGTATTCCTGCAGACTGGAAGCGGGCTGTATTCTTGCGCAGAAAGATGACAAACTGCTTTTTCCTATTCCCCTTAACAACGAAGATGCTGAATGACTCAAGACTGACTTGACCAAGTGTGTGTATATCCTGAAATGTGCCCCTTTCTGCTATGAAGTGACTGGGATATTTACTAAGCTGCATCAGGTGAGGAAAGGCTTGTCACTACTCAGTGAGATGGACAGAGGCCAACTGACACAGTTCTGGGGATCATGCATGCAGGAGAGAGGAGATGAAAAGGCAGCTGACCTCTTTCACCAGCCAAATGAGGCCTGGGAAAGATTTATCCTGTGTCTTCTAGACCTGAGGCAAATATTCCCATGTGCATGGAAAAAATATGTGCCAACTGCTAGGTGGAAAGTCTCAGCACAGAGGAAGGAGATATGAGTTGAATGATTTTTATGTGGCTGTTCAGGTGTCCAGGTCCAGCCTGGGAACACACACACACACACTCACACCCTGCAGTGAGGTCAAGTTTGTATTTTCAAGGGCAGGAACCAAATCTGTGTTTTCCTTGTCTCTCCTGCAGGGATGGGGAGCTGCAGCACTGCCATGTCCAGCTGTTCAGGCCAGACTTACCACTCCTTCAGCCATTCCTCCTCTTCTCCCTTAGGGAAAAGGGGGTGAGTCAAACCGCCTCGCAAAGGCAGTGCAAGAGAGAGATGAACGTCATGGTTTCTTGGTCAGGGAAAGGGGAGAAGGCGCATTCAGAGCTAGAAATCAGTGGAGACTTGTGGGGTACAGCCATGGTCGCTGGGCTTCCTTGGAGAAAGCACTACTGTTTTGGCTAACAGTCCTCAGAGATTTGAGCTGAATCGAGTCCCCTGATTTATGAATTTTGTGAATTTAGATGCTGCTGAAAACACCTGAGCTATGTGTCAGAACCATGTTTGCTCCTTTAGTTGCAGCTGCAGTCACTTCACTGGGTGCAGAATCCCCTAGCTGAGATCCTTTGCCGGGCTTCCTCAGGTTGCCATTTTCTTCTGTAATTACTTACACAGGAACAAAAGTACCTGTCACGTCAGTGTCTGGTCTTGTAAATAGATACCAAGGGGCAAAGGAATGATGCCAGGTTGGATGGGGCTTTTAGCAACCTGGTCTAGTGGGAGGTCCCTGCCCATGGCAGGGGGGTTAGAACTAGATGGTCTTTAACGTCCTTACAACCCAAACTATTCTATGATTCCATGACTCCATAAAATTTGCTCCTTCACCATCAGGTGAACCAAGAACTGGGTGCATTAACCCCCTCCATACCATTTTTTTTTAATTATTCTGAATGGGATGAGGTTGTTCACCACATTTATATGTCTGCATTGAATTACATCTCATTCTATATTCATATAAAACTGATTAAGATAGCTAACAACTCCCTCAAACACTCACTGACCCCTCAGGTTTACTGCCCTTAACAGGTCATAGAATAAAAGATCCTAGAGTGGTGAAGGGTCCTGCAAACTCTGGGTGTGTTGCAGACATGGTGTATGGTGTGTGTGTGTGTGTGCACAGCACTGCACAGACCCAACTACAATGGCATGATTCTGAGCAATGCATGCTGAATATGCATGAAGCAGGAGGCTGGTGCCACGTGAGCCTGTTGATATGTGATGTGCATACAGTTGGACAGTGGGTCAATCTGCCTGGTTAAGCAAGATACACTGCTGAAAGCCAAAATGCCAGCTTCAAACCACCTAAGGTTTGCAGCTAGGATTTGCAAACAGGGTTTGGAAAACAGGCACTGAAAGCAGCCTTGGTTCATGGAGGTTTGGGTTCCTTCTGTTTTAAAAATCACAGATGTAAAATCCAGACCATGCCCATTAACATGCAGAAGCTGTTCAGCTGTAGCTTTCCATGATCTCCCTTTAGCCTCCTGGAAGGAGAGAAGCAGTGTCGGTCACTGCAGTCTTTACAGTAACACACACCAGAGCCCTGGCTCATTTGTGGAGGTATAAAAGGACTCTGGGTTTTGCCAGAACTGCCTCAGGCTCAAAAGTATTTGTATTTATTAAGGAGGATTTGCCAGCCATCTCTAAGACAGCAGTGCTGCAGGTCACTGCAACTGCCTTTCAAGAATTTTTCTGGAGAACATGGCTGATGAGCTATTTATCTGAAAGTATCGCCTGCCCATGTTTTTAAATGACAGCAGAACTTGTAAAATGCTACTCAAGTAGCCTTCCATTTGAAAGAAAATGTTTTCAAGGGTGCCAAATCACTGTCTCAGCTATACTTTATGATGTAACTTCATCCCATTAAGCTAATGTGAGTCGTCCATTTGGGGCCAATACCCAGACTAACAACGCACAAAGGTAAACTCTATGATACAAGCAACCACTTGTAATATGTGTAGCTGGTAAGTACCCATATTTGTGTTGCAAGCTAAAAGTAACCTCATAAATATAAGTAACAGCAGAAGCACACAATGCTTGTGTCAGCCAGGAACTGCTCCTGAGTACAGTGCCTGGAAGATCTCCCAGCTCTCAACAGGCTTTCAGCAGAAAATGTTTCGGATCATCAATATTTGGCATCAAAAAAGCCAGAAGGCAGACCTGGGGTCTAGAAAGGGTGGTGCTGGAAGTAAGGGGTGAACAACTTGAGACAGCCAATGTGGACTAAGTAGTGATGCTCCTGAATCCATTCTTGTTGGGAGCTGGAGGAAACATGGATGGGGCTCTGGTGGTTTACATGGTCCCCAGAAGCACCATGGTGTGGAGCAACTGCAGTCCAAGGCTCCTG